GTCGCTTTCGATCTCAAATTGGCAAATTTTATAAACATTGGGATCGACCAGCCTATTCCATCGAGGGCACTCGCTCGCATTCAGGATTGTTCAAGGCGGGTCCAATATCCTGATTTAGGTCATATCGGCCACCGCGGGGCAGGTCCATCTACCGCTCTGGTCTCCTCATCAATCTCACAGAAGTCTGGAAATTTCAATTTGTGTGGGCGTCGCCGATGCATATAGGGATATGTGTACCATGTACCGAGCTTCAGGGGTCGGCGAACCTAAGTCCGAGACGAATTGAACGCAGGATGCGCAGGAGTAGAGGAAAGCTGTACTCTTTCGTTGCCATTGTATGTTGAACCTGGTCACTAGGTCCAAACAGACTGCCATAAAGCAAGACGTTACTGATTAGCACTTGCGCAACGTTAGTGGGTAGAGATCGTACCAGTGTTGTTTCAGTACTGCTGCTCCCTCTCGCAGCTGTTCCGGACGGACTTATTGCACGGGATTATGCCCTGCTGAGAGTTGGCATTGAGAGAGAGAAAGAGTATCTTCTGCGGTCGTTACAACAGGCAAGGCCTGAGTGCGCTGTTGGAGACGCGGGGTTCAAGGGGTTTGCTGCTACTGTGGCTTCGTATGTAATGGCGTTTCTCAAGGCTGTCAAGATGGAGTATGGTGTGATGGAGAGGTTTGTGGTGGATGTGATGGAGGTGAGTAAAGCTGATATTGAGACTCTTCCGACTGTGTTGAGAGGGAAGTCGTGAAGTGATGATATCTGCTTCAGACCTGGTGGTAGAGACTGGCTGTATACTCGGCTGTTGGAGTTAATACTCTTCAAGCAACAAGGTCTTGAACGTTATGCCATATAGCCACATTCTGCAGGACATTTCTTCGCTTTGAACTTACAAATTGCACTAAGTAGGTATCTGCAACAAGAATCAGGATAAATCTTCCTGTTAGTGACCGCATATAACACAGTCGGGACAACCTAACCAATGGCTCCAGCAAGGCCAGACAACCAGTCGAATGATAAGTGATGATTGAATTCTATTACTGCATCTAATGAGAATCTTCTGGGCATATGACGTAAAAAAGGAAGCATATTTGCAGGTATTCCGATTCCAATGGATTAACAATCCATTTTCTACAGCAGAGAAATCTAGCGGTGTATGTATGTATACCCGTTGACGTGGTAGTTTTAGTGCCCAACCTAGCAGTCTCAACATGTCATAAATGATAGTGTTCCCATCTCTGTGGAAGATATTGCGTATGATCATCTCAAACGTAGAATTCCTGACTTGTCTTCTTTCGGCCGGCTATATGGTCTATTTGTTCTGTGTTTTTCTACAGACAAGGATCTCTTGCTTCCCTCAGTAATGCAAAGATGCTCTAAAAGGTTGCCATAACTGCTGCTGCGTCCATGGAACTATCGGAAAGTATGATCATCGTACGGAGGAATTCCGAATGAGAAAGGCGGAACCAGGATGGAACTGTAGAATGGTATGTGTCCTATTTCTCTGCATCACAAAAGACGGTCTCAACAAGTTCTATTGGTAAACGGAAACGTCATTGCAATCGGTTATTGCTGCCTCGTCTGGAGGTGTCAATGGATAAAGGTTTCTTATGGGTCAGCCATCAATGGGTGGTCAAATTTGCCTCCCTTGAAACAGGCAGCAGAACATACGTGAAGCTCGTGAGATCAAGACTTCCAGTCATAGACGAGAGATATGAGGAGGATAGCTAGTCATGAAACAACTACGATGACAAGTCAGGAACCAGTAGAGTTCGCCTAGAACACGATAGCAACAGGCGGCAGCTCCAGTATTGGTTATGAGCGCTTCCAGAAGAGCCAGGATGCCTCGTCACAGGCTGTATGGCCAATGATACACTGCACTTCTGTGATGCCTCAAAGTGAGCTGGCGTATCAGGGCGCAAGCACTCATCTTGAGTGTCTGATTGGGCGTGTTTGGATGGGGCGAGATTGGACACCTCGTTTCGTGCATGCACAACGCCCACGAGCTAATTCTGTGGAGTCCCTCGATAGAATTCATACGAGCGAGACGTTGAATCTGCGTATCCATGATATCAACTGCGCCTTGTTAGTCGTATTCCTGTCATGCAAAGCGGGTTCGGCGTCAGATGCGGACCTTGACATGGCCATTGGTCGCCTAATGTCCGCGCTTTGCGACTGGCTTGTCCTGGGCTTCATTGAACACCGCTAATAGACAGCGCCGGTAGCTTATACCCTTGGCATTTGGTTTGAGTCGTGACTGGAGTGCCTTTTAGTTTGGTACTTATACCTTGTAAGAAAATCATACCGTAGGATTATCTGGTAAAAAGTGCATCTTGACCAGCGGTAAAAAGTGCAAGCCACGATGATATGACAAGGTAGCCATTGTCCAGTTTCACCCTTACACTTCTCGAACGGCGCATTGAGCAAAACAGTGGTGGCTCATGTAACACTGCTCTGTGAAGCGGAATGAGTCCAATCCTTTTTAGTGCACATGCTTTGGCTAGCTAGGATATTTCAGGCTTCAAACAGGTGAGTGTCGGGTGTGATCGTCTCGTTCACGCCCTCGAAAGAGAAGCCTTGCGCGACATTGAAGGAATGTATGGATCTCGGTGACACAGAAGTTGAGTCTACTATACTGGTTTCTCCCAATAGTACTTGGGGTCAAGATGTCTTTGAAACATGGAAGTGTCATGTGTCCTGTGACTTCTTGGCTTGTCGATGCGTTGGGTGCCAGATACTTTCTGCCTGGCATTTAGCACAGTTGCTCCTCCAGGAATATGCAGAAACGTTATATGGATCCTGCAGCAAGTACGCACCTTGTCTGCAAAGACGGAAAGAGAATATTGACGCTGGGTAGGTAGCTGTGAACTATAAGCCTGTGGATGCGGATATATATGTTTGCACTATCAGACCTTACAGACTGAGGAAGAACATGTATTCGTGTGGCATCTTAGATTGACTATTCTCTTGCATCACTGATAAGCCCTTTGAATCTATGAGCAAGTTCACCTCGAGTTTTCTATCCAGTCTCATACTAGAGCTCAATCCCGACGGTCATTTCCCATGTTGATCTGGTGAGGAGAGGCTGGAGAGGCGGTGTAGGATGCTGTTTGAACTCGCGCCCGCCTGACGTCAGGTGGCCTGAGCTTTTATTCCTAAACTCTCAGGCTGTTTGTTTTTCTTCCACGTAATTTTGAACTTGTACAACAAATGGACACAGAAAAATATCATGAAAAAAACCGATGTGTCATTTACTGTATGATTTTGTTCGAGTCCATCGGAGTCATTCCCGTCAAATACCGAAGTATCATAGTACTAAGTCTGGCAAATGCTCTCTGCCTAATGAACTGTTTACAAGAGCGAAGAGGCCTGTATCCCAAAGCTCCAAGAGAGGACCATTATTCGTGATTGAAGGGTCAAGCTTCCACACGTGGTGTGGGACAGATCGGCGCCATTTGTGTCAGTGTGTTGAGCGAGCTGAGGACTGGACAGCTGCTCGGACTAAGGTTTGTGGTACAGATTGGCTCAACTCGAGTCTTATCGGTTTTACGGCTTGGATGGAGTCTTTTACCGTGTAATCATAAATGAGGTTGATACATATGAGGGCGCTGTAGATAGAGATAGTACTAGTACTATTTTACTCGTCATTATCTTTGTGAACTCTGCTTGTTCTGCATAGATCTGCGATGGGTTGCCGCTGCCTGAAACTTCGAGCTTTCGGAGACTGTATTACTATGTCGCTTTCTCAACAACGGGACGAACAGGCAACCTTTCGCTCAGATACTGGTAAAATGACGCCACGATTGCTATGGTGTCATTGAGAGGTTAGAGACCTAGCGAGGCACCCTTGTTATTGTTATGAAGTGGAAGGCCAGCTTGGACACGGATTGAACTTGAAAGACAGTTTCCCAATCAAGGCATATAGCCGAGGCATGGGTTAGGCCTTCACAAGTATCAACGCTGAGCATTGACTGAATGAAGAAAATTTAAATGAGACGCAATTAACAAGCAATATGAGTGCTGAATCTGTGCTATAGAGTATACAATTCTCCCTTGAGTATTTGCAATTATATGGAGTAGTTGTTGACTTTTAACATATCTTTTCTGCTATGCTTCTAGGTCTATTTGAGAAAGAGAACAATGCTGAACCATCAATGGTAAGTCAACAAAGTCGCACAGGCAGCAATTGCTAAACAGAATCCAATCATTAATTTGGAAGGTGGCTGGTCAAGTCCATCGCTTCGGCTTCTAGGTTTTGGTAACTTTCAGGTTAGACCACAGTTCGGAAAGTCCCAGTTCCCACGGGTAAGGTAATGAATAATGCCGGTGCCCTCACACGTGACGTTCAGGTGGTGGCATGGATCATGTCTTCGGGGTGGCCGGAGCTCTCTGCATAATCGCAATGTGATACTTCAACAAGTTTCTAAGTCATCTAGGGAGTTACCTGCTGATGCTCATCAGATTACCCGGCAATTGTGTCCAGTGACTCAGACCAAGTATTAATGCGAATAAGGTAAGGATTAAACCTGGCTCGTTGGGCATTCTTCCAGACATATGCCTTACCGTTTTTCCTGACGTAGTCACTAAAATTACAAGTGTATCACCATGACCTTACATAGACCAAGCGAGAAAAGTGGGGCAAGCCCTGACAGTACAAGACAGTAAGGGTTCTGACCACTCGCTGGTCCGAATCCTCGCCGCCTCGACCACTAAACGAACCGCCGAGCCAGTCAGCTCCCCTCTGGACGCGTCCGGTACAAATGCCCCATCGCCCGCCCCTTCTCGTCACTGCGGCTTTCTCTCTCTGCTTCCTCTCGTTGGTCATCCGGCCTCTCCAGTCCCTTGCTTGCCCTCCAGTCAAGGCTCACGGACTGCTCGTTGCTCTCCTGCTTGGCCTGCGACTCGTTCACTGCTGGTCGCTGGCTTCAGATCACCGATCTTGTATTTCAGCCAACCCAATCATCATTGATTGATACTCTCTTGGGACCACCCCATCATCATTATTATCTCCGTTAACCTCGTGCTTGATTGTTATCATATCATCACCATTCTACGGAGAGTTACCTTGATAAGCTCTCTGGTAAGGACACATACTCTGTGCTTGGATTGGTTTACCTCGACGACCTTCTTCTTCCACGGTACCCGGTCATCGAATCATTATTGTCCTAGGTATGTATGAATGATAGGCCTCCCCCTTGCACAACCATTTCCGTCGGTTTCATTCATAATTGAACACTTTATTCTTGCTCATATCCAATCGCGTTACACTGGTGCCCTTTACGATTCCAAACTGACAAATCATTTTGCCCTTGTACTTGTCTTTTTCTTTTTCTTAAGCTTTTCTTTTTTCCCACTCGCTCCAAATAAATCTCTTGTTTATCCATATCAACCAGCAATATTGCGTCGCATTTTAGTTTCCAGCGAATTATACTCCCTTGCCAACCTGTACTCCTACTATTATTCTTCTTTTGTTGTCTGCCACTCGGGTCATTATCACGGCGCGCAGCGACAAAACCCACCCGCTGTGGCTTGTCCTCGTTTACGGATCAACCCGGGCCGGACTGACATCAGCGGTAGCCTCGAAGTAGTGCTGGGACCGCCTTTGTGCTGTTCGTCTTCTCGTTGGCAGAGCTCGCGTTCCCCTTCCTCTCAATCCCCGCGAATCATCCCAGATCATCCCAGGCCCTCTCCCGTGACAGCAACAAAGCGGGATCAAATCATCGCGCTGTTTCTGCGCCCTTGATTGCTTCGAATTGGAAGCTTGCTGTCAACAGCCATTCGTCACCCCTAACCCAGGTAATTAGATATATCAAACTTTGTGTCAAACGTGTTGTTGTTGTTGCTTCGCTTTGCGGGCCGCAGACCACGCGCGATGATTCCCTCGTCTTGTTGATGTTACCCACTTCTGTACACGACTTGATTGTCGCATGTATTCGAAGCATTGCAGAAATGCTCTACCTCCCGGTCCTTTGATGCCGTTCTGCGATATATTGACTATTCATGCACTATTATTCCTGTCAACGTCGCGTTCTGCCCACACCTCTCCCCAAACCACAATGCGCCCCAATCAGCACGCGTCAATCATATCTCAACTTTGACTCTATGGCCGTTTTCTAACGCTTCATGCTAGCTTCAGACGTGCAGCATTGTTTACCTCCTTGCGCGCCCAAATTATAGTCTCTTGTGGTTCTCATTGCCATCCGCGCGGACCAGAAAACCGGGACTTAACCGGAATTCGTATGCGTCGCATTTAGATAAGGTACGTTGGTTGCATCATAACTCCCGCTTGCCAGCGCATACATCCTTCAGCCGTGAACTGTCTAAAATTGCCACGGCTAACCCCACCTTTTTTTGACAAACCCCGTTTTACTTTTTGACAGCACATATTTCGCATGTGGTTGGCGGGAAAGTACATTGCTGATGATCTTTAGTAGAGAAGTCTGTGTGCAAGGCCACTCAGGCCTATTCTAATATCAATTCCCCTAAGTCGCGCAGAAGTGGCATTATCATCCGAGATCGTGGAGCAGGACGACTTCTCTCCCACTCGGATTCGTTGGACAGAAGTGCAGGCTACGCTACCAGCACCGCCTCAAGTTTCTTCGTGCCCGTCTTATTCGTCTCGCAGAGACGTGGCCGAGCAACCTGCCACCTTTAGAAGCTGAAACAGGTTAAACAGGGGAGCCTGGCTTTTACGAGGTCAATCTCACTGCGTAGTGACGTCCTTACTTTGATTTTTTTTTTATTTTTCCCGCTTGCGGCTTCGCCTCGTGCCAGCAATAGGCAATCGTGCATTGTTATCAACAGATTGCGTTCTGTCTGACAACGCATCGAGTACCGCACTTACTCAAGGGCACCCTGTCCCGCTGCATCAGAGCCCAACCACGTTACAGTTGTGGTCAACGTATTAAGAGAGAGTATCCACAAAGAACCCAAAACATCCTGAAGAACATTGCTTGGAGTCATTTCGGCAAACAAACGGTTGTTATCTTTTGTGTTGCTGATAGCTCCAAAGTCAGTCCATTCGCGAAACAAAAGTCAAGGTAAGCTTCTCCGCGCAAGCGCCTCTCTATCCCCATAAGCCCCTCACTAGTGATCCAGTGACCGTTCAGCGCTGCGCTCCATACTGATGCGAAAACAGAAGCCTGCAGATTTGCGCATTTAATTCGCCGAATCATCGGTCGCAAGGGCTCGCCGCTTTTTAGGACTCGATTCTTCTTATTCGCGCCCCTTCGCGATAACCTCAAAAGACCCATCCCTCTAACAACCTCTCATCCAGTCATCTGCTTCTACCTTACTTGACCTCTGCGCAGCAATCACCTACTTACTCGAGCTGTTACTGGGTTAAGTAAACTCATCTTAATAGGATCTAACCAATCATCGCGTAAGGTACCAAGGTGACGGAATTACCCGTCGCGTCTCCAGCACGATGGAATACCCTCCACAATATCAACAGCCTCATGGCCAGCACCCTCACGCTCCCTCTCACATGGCCGGCCCTTACCAAACAGCGCCACAGAACGCAGGTTCAACTGTTGGGTCGATGTCGTCCCCCACAAATCCACAGGGACACATGCAGCAGCCTCACCCTGCCCATCAAGGGTCTTCAATCGTCCCATCGCAATCCCATTACCAGCAGGCTCAGAATGCCCCAGGCTCGGTACATCAGCAGATGAACTTTCCTCAGTCATATGGCGTTCCAACGGCTATGCCTCAGCCGTACGGTATCTCTCCTACGCAAGCGGCTGCAATGGCTACAGCAGCCGCGTCTGGGCAATTCTACCCACTTCACCAAGACTCGATGGCTGGCCAGATGGCACAAGGCCCCGTGGTTCTCCTCGCATGGCCGGAGTACAAGTGAAAGGTGACCGGAATCCGCGATCGCCGCCGCAGATTTCAGGACAGATGCCCCCAATGGGCACTCAACTGTCCATGTCCCAAAATGCCCAGATGCAACAGCGTCGTATGAGTCATGTCGGTAGCCCACATGTCCAGACTGCTCAACCCGTGCTCAATCATGTTGCTCGCTCTTCGGTTCCCCCGCCGATGGCGCCGCCTCCTCAGCCTGTTCAGCAAAGCCAACCGTCACCGGAGCTTGTCGCCGGTGCTGCCGAGGAGTCTCCCTTGTATGTCAACGCGAAGCAATTCCATCGCATTCTGAAACGCCGGGTTGCCCGACAGAAGTTGGAGGAACAGTTGCGGCTCACGTCAAAGGGCCGTAAACCTTATTTACACGAGTCGCGTCACAATCACGCCATGCGACGGCCGCGCGGTCCCGGTGGAAGATTCTTGACGGCCGACGAAGTAGCCGCTATGGAAAAGAAACAAGCGGCTACCGCTGCGGGCTCGGGTCAAGAAAACGTGGACTCCGGAAAGCCTGCCGGAGAGAACCCTTCATCCGCGCAAAAACGGAAGTCTAGTGAAGTGAACGACGACAACGCGAACTCAGCCAAAAAATCTAAGACTGGTGGAGCTACTCGATCAGCTGAGGATAGCGAACGTGAATCTGCAGAACCAACCGATGAGGATGGTTAGCCTGACGAGCACGACTCTTACGCCCCGTCAGTGATGACCCCAATGACGCCATTTCGGGACGAATTTCTGTTCTGTACTTCTTTGATCGTTTCGCCACTTTTTTCTCGTAGCAAGCGATGTGTGACTACTCATCTCCAACACAACCCTTACCATTTCCCCTTTCGCAAAGTTCGCGATCTGATGTCTGTTTATATTGTTATGCTGGGACGAATTTCTGATTATTACCCCCTTGTCGATCGGCTCATTAAGTGATGTTTCCAGGATTGACTTGTATGAAATGACCGTTTTTTCTTTGATCTCCTGCCCTTTCTTTCTACACTCTACCTCTGCCGTGGTATCTGTGCCGAGTGGGTTGCCGCTGAATGTAGCCGGCTTTTTCCTTTCTTTTCACATGGCTCACTCAAGCTTAAGTACTGGCAATTCCAGCCGCTCCTCAATGGCAGCATCTCCAGGACTTGTGCCCGTCGCCGATAGTGTCCCCTTGTCATATATACACTGCAACCTCGACCACACCTTTTGTCTTTTCTTGCCCCTTCGTTTTTCATGTTACTCGAGCTCATGTTTGGGATTTAGAAGGAAGGAATCCATCACTGGTAAAATAAGGACCAAAGAATGATTGACAGAGTGACACGGTACCACTGATGTGACAGCTAGTTTGAGGCAAGCCCCAAATGCTGATGGATATACGACAGAGGGATTTCCAAGATGCATCCATTACTGGAGGATTGTGGGCCAAGTCGACCCGTCTCTGCATCTACTTGACTTGCATGCGCAATTGTCGTGCTTTGATTACCTCCTAACCCCTTTTCGCCTTACTTAGCCTTGATCTCCCTTGGAGTCCATGGATGTTTTCTTTCGTCAGGCAGCGCCCGCTCAGGTGTCCTATTCACTATGTGCCAGCTGATCCGCGAATTTTAGCTGGCGCTGATGATCAAAGAAACTCGATTGCCTGCCAAGGAGTAGTGGCATGAGGTGGACATTCATCTGTGCATTCATCCTCCTCGATGCCTCTTTATTTATATGATTTTTCATAAATCTGGTTTCTCATTTCATTTTCTTCTATATGACCCTGTCCAACGTGGTTTGCGAGTCGTTCTTGTGATTCCCAACGGGCAATTTCCCCGAATGTTGCATGTACAAATATCAAGTCATACTTACCAGCATATCCGGCTTGACACACGGCGTGACCGGTTGAATGCTGGTCTGATTGTCTACTTAGTTTGTGAATAACAGCCTTAAAATATACTTACAATTTCGTCATACTCATTATGAAGTACTCCATAGGTAGCTAGCTGATCAGGCTGTCACTCCAGGTCGTTCCTGGACTATGATAGTACCATTCCCAATTAGGACTAGTGTTAGACAAGGCGGTCAGCCACCAGCCTCACTCTCTTCACCATAGTAATGTCAGTGTTAGTCATCAGTTCGCATCCGCCAGTCAACTTGCAGTTCTTCTCTCTTTCTCTCTCACTTCCCTCTCTCAGCTATCTCCTTTACTTCCTCTTTCTGCATTTCAACCATCAGACCCTGTCCCCGGGGGAACAGCAGTCTCATTCCGTCTGGATTCGTCAGATTGGACGTGATTGGTGTGTGATACTTTTTCAAAGGCTACTTGTAGGTTGCCTGCCTTGCCCATCTTCTCTTTTATTTCATCGTGTGTCCTGTCACGTCACCCTTTGTCTTTTGCCTTCCTTCTATTCCCAGCTCAATTCCTCTCGGGACGAAGCTCCCCCATCATTGACTCTAGATTATTTGCCTTCCGACAACTATTGTCTTTTCCATCTGTCTTACCTGGGTGTCGTCGATCATCGTCGCGCCGTCCACGGCCCTCAGATTCTCCGTACCTCAGTCGCATATCTCTACTCTTTCTTTCTTCAACTCTCTCTTTCGCTCTTAGCAGCGCGCTCATCTCCTATACTTATGCTCCTTTTTTCCTCGCTTTATTCTTGTCGTTCTTCTGTCAATATGTCTTCCATGTCCTCCTTCGCCATGCTACGGGCGACTACCTCATCTTCTCTTCACCCCGACCCGTCCCTATCATCCTCTACAGCGTACAAGCTGCCAGACACTCATATTAAGTGAACGAACTTTTTCTAATGTTGACGATATCGGGTCTTAGCTTACTTCCGCGTCTTCCGGCTCTCGCACGCGACCGTTCCGTGCCTTCTTAAGCCACTGCCATTTCGCACCGTGCTCTTCTCTTATCACACAACGCTCGCGCTATAACTCAACGTACCCTGTGACATCAACAGATACCAGTTCGAGAGTTTTACGCGCTGGAACACGCGCCATAATGGACTACGAGAGTTTTGGATCACCCGGGAGGAACCGGGAGGGGGATCCTTACGCGGCTCGAGCGCAAACGGATTCTTACCGGCGCAGGTCACCTGGTAAGTACCTAAGAACCGCTAAGAACGATTCTTTGAAACTAATCACTCTCCGCCCTTCCCAGGAGCCCAAGACCGGCGTCGCGGTACACGGGGCCGTTCTCGCTCTCCAGTTATGATTGATCGCTACGAACCCTCAGTCCGCCGCCCTTCTCGCGACGATTACTATGCCTCGAATCGCGAGAATCCCTTTCGAGAGCGGGAGGACCGACGTGCGGCTCCGTCGCCAACCGTTGCCAATATCGACCGTTACGTTCCTGGACAAGAGTCTGGCAAAAGACCACTTCCGACGAACCCTCTTCCGAACCCGTTAAACCTTGACTTTCAAGTTGGATTTAATTGGTTCGCAGAATGGTGGCGTGCTGAGCAATCTATCAAAGAGGAGAAAGATCGCGCAAAATTCGGCGGACGGCGTCCATCTGATCGTGTCAAGGGGGAACGCGAGGCTCGCGAGGACCGGGAAAGAGAAAGGGCGCAGATCCAGGCCGCTTATGACACTTACAAGGTGGACCTCCAAATTAAGATGTCAAGGACGTTTGTTCAACATCACCGAAACGAGGAGTGGTTCAAGGAGCGCTATGTTCCTGAAGTCAGGGACCCTCTTCGCCGACGCCTGATGGATTTCCGTGTGGGTGCTTATCAGCAATGGGAGCGGGACCTTGAAGGCGGTCTGTTTGATGATTTCACTCTGGAAGGGATCTACAAGACTGAAAGCGATGGCGCAGGTGGTGTTATCGAGAAGGAAGAAGGCGAAACAACTGCTGTTGGCGAGACACTGGGTGTTTTGGACTTGCTTCCTGTCAGAGGTGGCGACTTGCGCGATGAGGCTTTGTCACAGCCAGCCTTGCTGATTAAGACTTTGGCACCCAATGTGAGCCGTGCGAAGATTGAAGAATTCTGCAAGGAGCATCTGGGGGAGCAGGATGGCGGCTTCAAGTGGCTCAGCCTGAGCGATCCGAATCCTTCGAAGAAGTTCCACCGAATGGGTTGGATTATGCTCCACCCAGCTCCAGAGAGCGCAGTGATTGAGAGAGGAGATGGTCGAGAGGAGGAAGGCGAGGAAATGGATCATGATCAGGGTGCCAATGGGACCGCAACTGTATCTGCGGCTGAGAAGGCACTGGAAGCTGTCAACGACAAGACGATCCATGATCCCGTTCACGGAGATTTTGTCTGCCATGTCGGTGTACACGTTCCACCTTCCCAGCCACGCAAAAAGGCTTTGTGGGATCTATTCTCCGCCCCAGAGCGGATTGAACGTGATCTTGAACTGGCCCGACGTTTAGTCTGTAAGCTTGATGCTGAAATGGCTGGAAACGCCGATGGTTATTCCAAGATTGAAGACCGTGTTGAGGAGCTGCGCGGAAAGGGTTGGCTTCAGCCTCCTGTCACCGGCCCTGTCAGTGTCAAGAAGCGGAAACCTGACTTTGATCCCGCTGACATTGACGAGGGTGAGGCAGAAGAAGGTGAAGAGCAAGAAGGATGGGACGATGACGAGGTCGATGATGAAGAACTTCTGGCCAAGAAGAAAAAGTTGGACCTTATGGTCGAATATCTACGCAGAGTCTACAACTTTTGCTTTTTCTGCGTTTTCGAGAGTGACTCGGTGCACGAACTTGCACGCAAGTGTCCTGGAGGTCATCTTCGTCGGCCGCGAGCCGGCCTCACCAGCCAGTCGAAAGCCGTCGCCAGAGCCAGTGCCCTTGGACAGCCTTTCCCCGTGAAGAAAAAGGAGCCCAGCGAAGAGGGAGAGGAACAGCCGCCTGTAGAGGAGAAGAGAACGCACCGTTTGTCTAAGGCGGAGCAACAGCTTCAGCGCGCGTTTAACTGGGTCCGGACTTTTGAAGATAAGCTCTTGCAGATTCTCGAGCCAGATAATGTGGATATTAGAAAACTTGGTGGCAAGCCCGTGGAGGAGGCCCTTGAGGAGGAATTATCGAAATTTGTCAAGCAGGAAGACGAAGCGAAGTTCCGGTGTAAGGTGCCGGAGTGCACAAAGCTTTTCAAGGCCGAGCACTTCTGGCGCAAGCATGTGGAGAAACGCCACACTGAATGGTTTGAGAATATCAAGAGTGATGTAAGTTGCGCAACCATGTCCCATACTGGATGGAGTTTAAGCTAACAAATACAATAGCTCTCTCTGGTCAACTCTTACGTTCTCGATCCTGCTCGAATCGCCCCCTCGCGTTCTGATGCCAACAGTAACGGTCATTTCCCTCTCAGTTCCAGTCAAAACCAGGCGGGCACCCCTCGTGGTTTCAGCTTGGCCAATTTGCCGCCTTATCTTGCAAACAACGTCAACATCCCTGGTGGAACCCATGGTCTCCCCGGCGCTGCTGGTATTCCGGGCTTCATGAACGTAAATAACCAGGCCTGGAACGCGAACGGCTTGGTAACCGGCGAGCATGCTGCTAGTCTCCACCATCCTGGTGTCATCCGTCGTGGTGGGGGTCGTTACAACAACCGGTCCGGACCGTATGACCGGCGCGGCAACCGTCAAGGCGCTTCTGGTGGAGGTCATCTGAGTCCCGTCCGTGGCATGCCGAGCATGTACGGTGCCGGAGGTCGTATGGGAGCGAGTGGTGCAGTGCCGTATATTCCTCCTGGCCACCC